AGGAATGAGAACTAACCCTGAAGCAACAAATTCAGCAAGGAAAATGGGTCAAAGAACAGATGTTTAGAGGATGACAGAGAGCAGTAGTACAGGTAACCAGGTCAGCAGGCAGGAACCCTGATTAGAGTTAAGTGAACTCCATTTCCCTTTCATAATCAAAATACTTAAAAATCTAATTTATAACAGCAGCCAATTGCAATAAAAATGACTTAAAAAGCTGTAGAAGCTTTCCGTTGTGAAAGCAATAAGATTTCATTATACTAAGCCAGCTGAAAATCATCTTTATGGGGGAAGATTGCTAAATTCCCAATATGCTCATATTAAAGTGACAATTAGCAATTTAAATAATTAAACATACTGGTAAAATAGAGCACAACTTAACCTCATCTATTTTGGGTTGATTATTCATTGGCTGTTAAGAGATGTCTTCCTGAAGAGAGACAAGATAAACATATCCTATATTTAACATGACAAAAGGTACAGTAATAAGCTTTCTTACACTATGTCTGCACCACAGTTGCAAGCTTAACCTTGCTCTGAGATGAAAAGCATAGGAGTGTGTTGCAAAGATATTTATGCTGGCATCACAGGAGGCAGCGTAAGTAGAAACAGTAGAGCTGAACGAGTTAAGGGGCACTACAGCATGGACATAGCTGTTTATTGTTGGATTTTGGCTGACACTTTCTCAGTGGCCTGCATCACATCATGTGGAAATACCTGTTTGGATGGGGAATCTGGCAGACATACCCATATAATGGGCATTATAGTAATCCTTAGTAATCCTTATTTGTGCGGTGTTTTGGGAAATAACAACAAACTTAAATGTCTACAAAACCCCAATTTGAATAGTAGTAGAAAAGAAAAAAAAAATCTGAAAGATTCCTTGGTTAGGAATTACTGAATTTAAGAGCATTCAAGCTAAGCGATTACTAACCAACTACAGTGACTATCTGGCTTTAATTTTACATTTTTTAAAATTAATTCACACATGCTTCCAATTCGAGGCAAGGTTTTGTTTCCTCCCCCTTTCCTGCTAGATAGCTTGCACTTGCTAGTCTAATCACAGACCATATGAAGAGAAGGACCTAACCTCGGGCAGAATCACAACATTGATGTTGTTTCTTGCAGATGTTTGCGTAACCTGTTCTTAAAGGCCTGCAAATATGGAGACTCTAGAGCCGCTTATTCCACTGCTTTATCATCTCCATTGTAACTCCTGGCCCCTTAATGTCTAACTCTGCAGCCTGTGATAAAATTTGAGGTAATTACTTCTTACCCTATAAAACTAATAATGTGCACAAGCTCCTTCCTCTTTACAGTTTTCTTTTTATGTAGTTGAATACTTACATCCTCAGTTCATATTTTCTTTCAGTTGAACATCATGAATTCCTTCACAATCTTTCCTTGGAGGTCACACTTTAGAGACCTATTATTCTCTTTATGCTCATCTGGACTCTTTATATTGAATCACGTGTTTAAATGCAATACTGAAAACCAGACACAAATTAAGGATTACCATCCTCCTGTTTGTATATTCTCAGTAAGATGCTTGCCTTTTTCACAACAACTCACCATTTGTTGATTTGCATCTAGCTCATTATTTTTGCTAATACCCATGTTCCACCCACTTTTTAAGAGCTACCCCTAGCCAGTCATTTGGCATCTTCTTTTTGTGAAGATGATCACCATCTGGCTGTGTGTCCTTGCATATATTGTCTGCTTAATTTCATCCTATTTTCAGCATCTTATTTTTCAAAGTTGTCCTCACCTTTTCGAATTCTACTCATCTTCCAATATACTTTCAGTTCCCCTTAGCTTTGTAAGATTTACATGTGCTCACCAGGTTCTGGGGTATCAAAGTCATGCTCTAGCAAAATCAAGGAAGAATTTTCCAAGCTGAACAAATCTCTCTGGAAACAAATCAGACACACAAACTTTTTGGGCCTTCTTTGTATGTGAAAAAGCAGTATTAAAGCTCCAAGCATTAGAAATTTTGCTTCATACTGTTCCAAAACTCATTAACGTAAAGGCAGAAGGAAAATTCAGAAATATATAAAAACCCTCCAAAATAAGCAAACTCACAAAACTAAGTTAAAACAACACTATGAAGCTGAAAAGTTCACAAAAGCCAAGAACACTCTCCTCAAGTCAATTCATCCTGCTTAAAAATTGCCAGTGGAAACAAATATAGGTTAAGGCAGGAATTCACTTTTTAAAGTAAATCACCAAAGGGTGGTTAGAGGGAGTGAATTTCACTGATGCTCTTCTGGTATATATGAATGGTTTCAGCTTATGCTTTAAAAAGTATTGAAATATTTTTCTAGCCTTTTTTTGCTGAGGAAGAAAGCTTTGAGACAGAAGCAACAATGGAGAGATCATTTTGGACTGGATTACTTTGAACTGTTTCTAGTAATACCTATTTAGTTAATCTACAATTAAAAAGGGTTTGAATGCTTAAAATCATACAGAAGCAAGCACACTGTACCTTGTCAATCCTTTCTACTATAGTCCTCTAACTGCTAAAGGAAAACCAAGCCTTACGGCTCTTGATACTTCACAGGAGAAGAAACAAGCAGAAAGTGGTCTCAAGTATTTAAAAAGTATTTCCTGTGTCACAGAAAATGTCAGAAAAACAAATTCAAATCTGCCCTTGGAAGTTTTTCTTATTTTAAGATCTAGTGCATTTACCAGATAATACACAGTTCAAATGCCCTCTGGCTTGCCTAATGTTAAATTAGCTGTTAGCAAGGGATTCCCAAACTCCACTACACAAACTATTTCAAAACAGCACCTTATACACCAAAACTTATCTCCCTGCACCTCTCCCCGTGGAAACAGGGAACAGCTGCTTAGGCAGCTAACACTGCCTGCGCATGCTTTTTCTGTGCACAAAGTTCAACAAAACCAGAAGTTTTTCCTGCAGCTTTATTGTAATATTTCTTATTCAACTATGGCAATGCCCAAGCAAAAAAAGAATCTTTGCTTAAAATTGAGATGCTATTCTATGTCACCTTCAATAAAGGATAAGCTGTACATCTTTTTCAACAGCTGAACAGATATATCTGAAGTAGTTCCCAGGCTCAACATTTCTGATGCTGATGCAGTAACAGTTTGAGATCCAGAGAAGTTTCCAGGAAGCTTTTGTTTAAGTGTTTCCTCTTAAAACCTAATCGCTGTAACTCTGTGCAATGCGATGATAAAAGTAACAGAAACTCTAATAAGTAGTCTGTGTCAGGAAAGCTGACCTAGCGTTATCAGCAGTGGGAAACTTTCAGAGTAGTAAAAATTTGTGTGGAGAACACTTACATTAATCATACAGTTGGAGGTCATTGGAAGGAAAAAGGATTACACTCAGACACTTCTCCACACATAAAACCCCCTGAAAATTCCTTTTTTCATACAAGAAAATGACAGCTCTTAGAGCATACACCTTTCTTTCATTTCTCTTTCCAATTCACTGAAGAGTATGTTGCTCAAGACTTCGCACCTAATAGAAGCGGCAAGCGAGCTTTGTTTTTTTCTTTGCAGTACTGGATGTGTGCAAGTGTGGTGGCCAAATATATTGTGCAAAGGATTCTTAATAAAGACTGTTTTTACACCTGCGTCAAGGAATAAAGGAGAAAATGAGTGCAAAAGGCAGTCTTAAAATACTGTTAGTTTTGTGATGGTTATACGTAGAATCATTCCACACGGTTGTATTATCAGTATCACGCAAATTAATCCAAAGCAATCTCAAAAGATCTTTCCCATGCACACTGCATACTACCAAGCCATGTAAAATACTTTTGCTGTTACTATCTGCTTAGTAAAATGTAGCATCTTTTTAATAAAGTCACTCCACTTCAGTAGTATGAATACTTCAGGAGTATGATAAACAACACTAAACAGAATAAACAAAAAACCCCTTAATTTCATTTGCATAGCAGGTTAGTAAATTCTTGCTTACATCCACTTATTTGCAAATAATACGTGTTGTTCTAAAATGATAAGAATGCAAATGGTTTGCTTTCTAGTATATGCTACAGAACTGTATAGATGCATTAGATCTTTAAAAATAACTTCTAAAAATATCTTTTTGTGATTAGCTCAACAGGGGGAAAAAAACACTTAAGTAGTATGTAAATTACCCAGAAGGCTATAATGGGTTACATTTCACTCTAGCCAGAGGCTTTGTTTCCCACTGTTTAAGATAATTCCTGAAATATAATAAATAAAGAACATCTAAAATGTACATCAACAGATTTAAACATTATTCTCATTAACCCCTCCAGAGCCTATAAAATAGGGTCAAGCTGAAAGGGCTTTCAAATGGTCCTCAGCAGACACTACATCATGTTGTAGTGATCTATTGCTTAAAAAGGAAAAGTCTTTTACAGCCTAGCCCCTAAGGGTTTTAAGATCATAACACTTAAAATCCGTAAGTACAAGCTTTCTTTGATATCTGGTACAATACTATAAAATATGAATTAACAAGCATATTAATCATTTTACACAATATCACTATTAACCATGCTATAATCCAGAAAAAGGGACTGAAATAGTATCATATGTATAACTCGTTTTAAAGTTTGTAAAGATATTTCAGTTTAATTAATGGAAACCACCTGTCTAAACACCATTAGCTCATCTACATTTTTAAGGACTAGCTTGAAACAGAAATGTAATCTTTAACCAAGTCACACAAACATTCGCTTGCAGTGAAAGGAGGTTACTACAAAACCCAAAGCGCATTGTTTTTCTGTTATTGGGTTACAGTAGCTCAAGTCTGTAAGCACCAGAATCCCCCATCCAGCTGATCAGTTACAGCTGTTAATTGTGGAGGGCGAGACTGGCTGACATCTGCTTCTTGCATAGTTAGTTAATGGTTCACTTCCAGGTCCTAAAAGGATTGTAGCCTCTCTCAAAAGACAATGTCGGCCCCCATATACGTCTGCCTTCTACAGTGCCTGTCTTGTTCTGGTTTGTCACTCTCTATACAATGCAAATCTGAGTGAACTCACATCTGCCACTGATCGACCCAATTCGTGAGCAATCTTTTCCCATCGACCTGGGGTCCCCCCTGGGAACTTAACCATACTTCTTGTCAGCTGGCTGAGGTCCTCCTCTGTCCATTCAGGTGCCTGTAAAACATTTGTAAAACATTCGTAAAACATTCATTACACTGGGATATGGGACATACTTTTGTGAGGTAATATACTGAAAAAAAATCCTTCAAACGAATTAATCAAATTGCGTAAAGAAAAAAAAAAAACCCAGAATAGTTTCAAGTATCTGGGTGCCATCTCCCTGTGTTGTTGCCAAAAACGCATAAAAACAACAGACCAACAGTAAGATATTAAAAATCCTTAACACTCAAAAAATGCATTTTGTATATTGTACAAACTAACACATTCAATTTTTATCAACACTTATACAACATACATAACACTATAAAATGCAGTACAGGTAAAAAGCAACAATGCTTTTATTAAAGATTAACTCACGGTTTAAGACGCAAAAGTTTAGACATTTATTCAATTGCACATGTAAGATTTTTCAGCAAAGACAAAGAAAAAAATCCTCAGTTTTACATTTTAAAAAGGCCTGTAAATAAAACAAAACAGTCATTTTAGCTTTTTGTCACTGTAATTATACTATGTTTTCGCATTCTGTGATGATTCAGGAATGAAATCTGTTGATTCTAATATGCCATTAAGACTATTAAACAACATCCCTTCTTCCCCACCCCCAACATGGTTATGCCACAAAACCAAACCGGATGCTTCTACCACCCAATAACCAAAAGCTATAAAAATGTTTTGCTCTAACTACATAAGAGAATCTGTTAAAAATAACTGTCTTCATAACAGCCAAATAGAAGTGAACAAAGCAAGGAGCACTGAGTTACAGCAGTTAAAGGCATGAAATCGTGCTTGCCTCAGAAAGCAAGATGCCGTCACCATCTTTGACATTTGCAGCGTCTTTGGCAACGACCGCAGAGCTGAATCTTTGTTATCACCAGTAGTTTGCCATTTTATTTATTTTTCAGGAATTCTTTATGACATACCTCTTCTAATCACCATTTCCGATAATGAACAGGCACATATCAAGCAGTTTGCATTACAGAGCCATCAGCACAGAACAAGTCAGAGGTGAGTGACCCCAGGGACCATCTCCACAACTACAGCAAAGCTTCTCCCTGACACTAATCCTGCCTGTCATTCTCCCACTGTGCTCTAACCACACTGACATCCGCCTGCCGCACCGCGAGCTTAACGGGGCCCTTCCTGACTTTTTACTGTCTCCCCCAATCAATGGTTCAAGCGTGCTCTTTTCACCATGTCCAAATGGCAGCTTCACTCATAATCAAAGTGCATTGCTCCTGTTAAAGGGCTTCCCGAAAGGATCCACCATTTGCATTCATTTGCAAAGCAAACTACTTTTATTCACTTTGTTCTGCTATCAAGAGTGTTCCCTGAAGCAGATAAATTGGCATAAATACAACCTGCCACTTAAAAGACAGTAAATAATAGCCAATAGTAGCAAGGATTTCATCAATCGTCCTAGTTTGGATCCATGTAGTCCTTTATTCAATGCTGAAAGCCTCAGACATTCGTATTCGGATAGTTTTTAATACAAGTATAAAATGAATTATCTGTGATGATTCAAACGCAAGATGCTTAAATAACATGCGTGTATGTGAGAGAGGGCGCACGTACATTACATGCATTATCGTACAATTACACTCCGGCCTACAGGAGAAATGATAAATACACAGAAAATCGCCACATTTCACAGTAACCTTATTACTTTTATTGTATTAAACAAGTTAATATACTCCATATATTTATTTATTATATTATTGTCTTCCTCTCTCTATATTTTATACTAAAATATTTCTCAGATTTTTAGAAGGGAAGATTTGGGGTACTTAATGTTCTACTTATAAAAATTTTCATAACTGTAATTTAAATACTGAATTCTTCTAAGATTTTTGATTAAAAGCCTTTTCTTCAAAAATTAGTCAAATTCCACACCCCAAAATTAGCCTTAGTATGCAGTTCACTCATTTTCTATTTAATTTATATTAAAACTTTGTGTATATTGTTGTGGGGGTTTCTTTTCCCCTTTTCCTTTTTTTTTTTTTTTTTTTTTTTTTTTTAAAATGTGTAAATTCACAGCTATTCTCTTTACCATATCCAAAGCATATCTAAGCAATTACACACGGAAATCAAGATGATCTTTTCAGTGATGCATATGTGTCAGAAGCTTTCCGGTAAATTTTATTTTCAGACTTTTTCGGTAAGCTTTGATTTTCCTATATGCTCAAAACTTTACTAACCATTTGTAATTATTAGAGAAGTCATAAGGTTATCTTCCTAAATGACAGACACAACTACAATCATTCTGTAGATCTGTAGCTAATCATATAGTTAAATCACAGCACAAGAATTCATTAGCTACATTAAAATATCAAATTGTTAATCTTATTTCAAGCTGACAGTAACTTTAGCATGTGAAGATCTAAAACATTTATAAATTTGGAAAATCTTTGAAAAAGCTTGTAGAAAATCCACTCTCAACCGCTAAAGCTGTAAAGAGCTTTTGTGAATTTGCAATTCCTCAGCAACAGTTAATTGTGTCTTTAGATGCAACAGCGCCTACTGTGATCCAACTACTACAAGCAGCTATGAGGGTGGTCATGGTGTGAATGTATTCTCCCTGTTCTAATCTGTAGCCAACTGTAACTGCGAGAGTCAAATGAATGCATAAACATACTGCTTTGTCACCTAAAACCATGTGTGTCCAATATTACTGAAACACTGGGCCAAAATTCATCTCTACAGTAAAGCAATGGAAGACACCACATGGTGAGGGGACAGCTGTTGTTACTACACAAGCATTCAGATTTTGCATCAAAAAGCGCCCTGTTCTGGGATTAACTCCCCATACTGAATACAAAATTAAAAGTATAGAGTTATGGTCTACAGTCTTTAAAATGAAAACTACAAGTGTAGATAAAAAAATTGCATGGCATTCCCATAAACAATAAACTTTTAACATGGTTTATCATACACAGCTAGCAATATTGAAGGATTAGTTCACCCAAATCACTTTGCGCCTTCTATAGAAAAGAAATATGCATATGGTTTATTGTTTATCATCACTCTTACATGCGTATCTGCACTTAGCAATTCTATACCCACATTTTCCAGCATGACAGTTTTACACTATTAGGATTTTTTTAAAAATATGACCAACTATTTTCAATTACATTAAAAGCAAATTTTTAGATAATAAAGCATTTATTTTCAAGAAAATAGCCTGACTTGCTTAGACCTGTTAACATTAGTAAGTATAAAACTATATACCCTTTTATTGATAAAATTGGGAAGTGGCTAGTATTCGAGAGTTTATAAAGAAACTTTACAAGTTATTTATATTGACTTGACAATATGAGATAATTGGATTTTTTTAGATTAAATTTTAGCTTTAGACCATTTCTTCCCATCATCAATATACTGTAGATTCAATTAAAGTCACTGTTGTATGGAAGTTTGGATAATGTTTTCAGTCTGGCTAGGATTTTGTGCTATGCTTCATCTACTTTTGGTAGGTGATCTGAGATCACTGTGAGCATGTCTAGTCCATGATCTTGCAAACAAACCATGAGGCAGCATCTATTTAAAAATACCTGTGCAAATGTTTGTAGAACAAGGGTCCTAGACAGTTTTGCAATTCAGGATACATTTAACCTACAAGAAGGTGGTGTTTCTATCCAGTAAGAATAGAATGTAAAAGTATTCCTGATTTAATTTCTTGCCCATAGTGTCTTATTTTTGTTACATTATTCTTGCATATTCTTACAATTTCTTGCTTTACCTACAAGAACTCTGAAATCAGTCTTGTTTTATCAAGTCTAATACACATCTGGCATTGTGACCCAGCTGTGGCTGAACACTAAGAACCTGCTAGAGTTCTAAAGATCTCTTGTGAAGCTCTAAAGATCTGCTAAATGGTATTAATGATCTGAACTCATATTCAAAGCCACAACATGTTCATGTAACCCTTTGTTCCTTCAAAGCCATAACTTAAATCTTATTTCCATCGTTACACTTTTTATTAATTGAGCCAACAAAACCATAAAGACACCTATACTGTTTCAGATCAATGGCCAAAGTAGGCCAGGAAGCTCATAATTTGTGCTCAGGGAGTGCAGCTGCAGAAAACTTTACTACATACTTTGTGATAACAAGAAGGACTATATTTATCATTCATCCTTTCCAGTCCCACTCTGCTTTGAAAAAAAATGGGGCCATATGAAGATACTAAGAGTAAGAGGAAGGCAAGCATACAGGTTACCTATATTTCCCCTAACCCCAATTATTTTCAGCTCAGGGAATTTCTCTAGGCTGATATATTTTATCTATGTAATAACCCTAAATGAATCTCCCTTTTAACGGTTTTTCCAGTCTCCCCTGAAACTATGTAAACTTTCTGGAGTTTTTTTCTAAACTCATGAGGAGTTGCACACACCTGCTACAGAATAAGGAACCACTTTGATTTGTCTGTTTTGAACCTGGCTCCCGATAGCTTTGATGACACCTAGCTCTTGGCTTTGAGTGAAGAACTGGCAAATAGTCTATATCTACTGACTTCCATGTCACTTACAACTTTGTTCAAAATACCCCTCTATAGTATTCCCCCGTAAGTTGTCTCTTCCTGGCTAAAGAGTCCTAGTCTGTTCAGCTGGTTTCTCATGTAAAAGCCGTTTTATGCATAATACTGCCCATGATTCCTTTTTCTAAACCACCTGCAATTCCATTATAACCAACCTCTTTAAAATGAGGTACCAAGCTGCACACAGCAGGATTAATCATAAGTTTATACAGTGGAATAAAGAGTCTTCTGTTTTCTAACATTTGCATTGGTTTCTTGAATGATACTAAGCTGACTTTCAATGAAGTCAGCACTGATAACTCCCAAGATCTCACTCCTCAAGGATCATGGCCAGCTCAGAGCTCATCATCTTGTGCGTGAAGTTAGGACAGTCATCCACTGTATCAACATTTGCGTCACTTCGTATTTACATACTGGGAAGTTTTTCTGCCATTTTACTGCCCAAGCAGTCAAACTCATA